ACACAGCTCTGCCTGCTGCATCATAGCAGGCTTTTCTATACGTCCTGAGTGATGCCTCAGATACAGACAGTTATGTGATGTGTTTGTAAATGGGTTGGGAAGACAGAAGCACTGTGAGGCCACAAGGTCATTGTGCCCAGGGGCCCAACCTCCTCAGGGTGTAAGCATACCTTGTCCTCCTGTTGCAAACTTGGTCCCATCTGGGTGAATGTCCACTGAAAATATGGGCTTTCCTGCAATCAGAGAACAAGAAACACAGTGAATAGTTTTACAGTGAGCAGAAGGCAGTCATGCCAACAGATCCATGACCCTTCAGGTTGGCAAACGGCATTTTCCTTCTAGAAGCAGTGATTACAAGAAATACAGCTGAGTAGGAGAGTCGAAAGCAATGTGAAGAAAAGAACAGCTACTAGTGTAGATGGAAGCTACCGTGCCATAAACGAAACAGAGATGAACAAGGAGAGGTAATCCTGCAGGATATGCCAAATGCCCCAAGGCAAAGTAACACCACAACAGTTGCACCAACAAGGTAAAATCACACTTGGGTACGGAATTTCTTCCAGGTTTCTGCAGCTCATTAGCTGATGACCTGAAGCAAGGTTTTGGTTTCTGTCCTTTGTTGTTTTGTTGATAAATCCTGGAGAATTTAACTAGATTCTCCAACTATGGGTTTATGCTGCAACTATACCATCTGGCTTCCCTGACACTGAACTGTAAACAAAATCCTTGTCCCAGTACTTCTTACTGTTTGAGGGATGTGTGTTCTGCTTCATGTATTTTCTTTATGTTGACTTGTTTTGAGGTTTAGTTTGTTTGGATTTGTGTTGCAACGATGACACGTGATTCCCCTAAAAAGTTTTACAGGCAGCCAAGCAAAGACCTTCACTGGATTGAGACAGCGCTCCACGTGCGCTCCTTCCCAGTCCTCTAAATCACACAAAGCACAAATTGAGATTTAGCCGTGGCTTTTCTTCAGTTCGTGCTTGACTCCATTCTTCTTTCCCTACCATCTCGAATGAACACAAACGGCTGAGTACTGGAGAAGCACAGGCAGGAAGCAAACATTGATTTTGCCCTTCCCAAGGTGCAAAAGCTCCCTTACATTAAACCAGCACATTGTTTAAACTAGTGTAAGCCACTGACGCTTACAGGAACAGCTCCCTCTACAGATGTTACAAGTGGAAGAGATTACCTTTGCTCCGATAACCTCACACCCGAAGTTACCATGTGTGCCGGGCCGTTAGCCGTGAGAGCACAGGAAGCCTTCTAATCCTAAAGGCCTCTTTAGGTCCTCAGCCTCTGCATCACTCACAAAACCAGGAACCCGATGATTCCCCGTGAGTCAGAAGGAACAAAGCCCTCACTAAGAGGGGAGCCGTGGCCCCCCAGCAGCACAGGCAGCGCTTCAGAGCTTGGGTGGCTGCAGTTAAACAACACTGCAAAGAAGGAGACATTATTTATTAGCAACTGCCGCCCTCCTCAGCTCCATGTCTGTATCTGATGGTGTTGCTGGTCACTGCTGAGACACCCAACAGCACCAGGTCACTCTCCCAAAGCATCCCAGTGCCTTGCCATGCCTGCCACTGGAGAAGTTCTCATTCATACCAGTCACCAAGCATCAAAATAAGATGCACGTGATGCTTAAACAGTAACACTGCAATTTAACAGTGGGGTTTAGGATATTTTTCCCCTCTCCTAATAATTTATAAACAATTTGTTGAAGCTATTGAAGCTCCCCACTACACAGCACGAAGCAGCAAACCAGATCCATTGAAACCAGAACACCTTCTGACAGACCATATGACATCATGTGGTTTGTTACTTAATTCTACGCAGTAATCACTAAAATAAAAAGACAATTTTATGCAAAGTTCCACTTTGTGAGATTCTATTTACTTTCCTCGCAGCCCATCCAAGACACAACATCCTATGTGACTCACATATCCATTTCAATATTTACCTTCCACCATTACAGCTTGAAGAGATAATAAACTCTGTGCCTCCGTTTCAACAAAGTGAGCTCCAATTCCTACAAGCTGTAACACACCAACAGCACCTCAGGGGTTGCAGAGGTTTCTCAGAATCGCACAGGACTTCCTTCCAAGAGGGCTCAGCATGTGCCACTGCTACAGACCGGGGCTCTCAACCAGCTGTGTGCCAAACGTGCACACACACTGCGCTGTGTACCTTCATATGGGTACTGAAAGGAAATGGGGGGAGAACCAAACCCCAGCTGAATATCTATAAAATATCTAATAAACTGGCATTAATAGTGCAAAGAGCTTACAGAAAATCCACTTGAAGAAGTATTTCCAACAAGCACTCTGGCAAGGCAACATTAAGAACGCCAAGACAAAAACCTGTAGAGCCAAAACGTGCAAAGTGCTCTTACAGGGAGCACACACAGTGTGGGCTGAGAAGCCCAGGCGCACTGAATGTACTTGCTGCAACCCCGACTCCCATGGCTGTCATCTCACAGAGCTGCCATGCATGCCTGCCAGCATCCTTCAGCCGCTTCCAGCCCGTTCAGCAAAACACAAGTCCTAAAACTGAGCAGGTAAAGGGGAAGGGAGGAACGACAGCAAGGAACCAGCGCACAGAGGAGCCATCCTGAGATCCTGATTCCTGCTCATGCACCAACAACAGCAAGCTCTTCTGGCGGCAGTGAAAACAAAAGGAGCAAGAGCTATGGACAGTGAGACCACAGCAGGAACCATCCCCACCTCTAGGGAGGTACCAGAGTAACGTGCAGCCTGTTAAAAGTGATGGAAATGGCTAATGTGCAGCAATGCCTGCGGGATCTGGAACCCTGGTACATCAGAATCACCTGCCTGATCTCTCATGATTGATCCTGCATTCCCTGCCCCAAGAAGGAGGTAGTGAGAATGTCAGACAGCTCTGTGTGCCACAGACCTTAAAGCGCCTCGCAGATGAAAGCAGTGGTAGACGTCCAGCAGAGTTTCACCACCTGCAGAACAAACTGACTTGCACAAACTCACCCCAGCAAGACAGCGACAAAAATGGAGACAAAACGTGGGGCTACCAAAGCCTTGTACTGCATCACCCGTGGGATACAGCCTTGCTCGGCAGAGGATGCTTTTCTAGAGTTCACAAGTTAATGCCAAAAGTTACAACAGTTCCCAAACACACGCCATAGCGAAGCAGTGCACCCATTAAAGAAACACAGAGAACAGCCACGGGGCCATTGCTCTCTGCGACCTGCAGAGGTGCAGGCCAGAAGTTCGCTGCTGACAGGTGGGCTCCCGGCAGCCATCCAGCGCCGGAGAGCCCACACACGAGCAGCCAGAGAGCGAGGCGCAAACTCTGCATCGGTTCAGATCAATCGAGCAGAGAAGTAACAAACACCTCAGCGAAGCGCTTCCACTTTCTTTCCGATCGCCACGACCACACATCGCACGGCCGCCCCGCGGAGAGCAGCGCAGCACGGCCGTACGGGAGCTACAGCTCCAGGCTCGGGCGGCCATTCCCGGCGACGCAGGAGGACCCGAGGCCGAGCCGCGGGCACGGCCGCTCAGCCGGTCTCACCCGGCGCCGGGAGCGGGAGACGAGCGCGGCCGGGAGGGCAACGCGGCCAAAGCAGAGCTCTCCGCGCGGCGCTCCGTCCCGACGCGGCGCTCAGGACGCAGACACCGCTCCGGAAACCGGTTTTAAGTCCCGCAGCCGCGTTACGCCGGGCTGCCCGGCGCGGGGAGGCGCAGCCGCTCGGTCCCAGCCGCTCGGAGCGCCCCGCGGCCGCCGGCGATCCCCGCGGCCATCTTCCCCGGCCCGGACGGACCCCGCTCCCATCTCGCCGCGCCTCGGCGCCGCCCGCGGGGCCCGGCGCTCCCCGGCACCCCCGCCCGCCCGGCCCCGCCCGGCCCGCGGCACCTGCCGTCCTCACCATTG